ATGTGACACTGTATCAGCTCAGGACACCTATGAGACAGCCTGCATTATCTCGTATTCTTCACTTCTCTCCCACCAGTTGTCTTTCAATACAATTGCTGCTCAGCGATACAACTGCTTAGAAGTGTCCCCAGTTCCTATCTGTTGAAGCATCTGCATTTTAAGCTAAATGAGCTTAAAATAGTTAGAATGAAACATTTATCAGTAAGGTCATCTTCTGTGGCCTGAGCTCACATGACCTCCTGCGAGAGCTGTAAGACTCCACCTTGCTGGCTCACAACCACCTTGGGAATAACTCTTCCTTCAGATTTTCTTTATGTGCAGGAAGTATTCTTCTGGACCTGACACAGCATCAGCATCACTGAAGTGATGAATGAAGAGTCTGATCCTATCAATACAAAATAAAAAAGAAGAAAAAAACACCAAACTACACCAAAAAAGGCAAGAAATTGGACTAAGCTATAAAAGTAGACATCAAAAGCTTCCTTCTTTCACAGTGAGAAGCTGTTACTATCACAAACCTCTAAGTACAGGTGGAAGTCTAGGGATTTCTTAAGCCTTCCTCTTAATAGTAAAAGTATCACCCCTAAAAATGTCTTCTTTCCTGAAAGCAAAAAACCCCTTTTTCTGCAAAATACATGTGTGAGATTCCTGAAAAATATGAGAATTGGGTGACTGACCCCTGCAATGGATGAATGTCCAGAGGAGGTGGGCAAGAATGATGTGCTGAAGGAAGAATATAAGGAAAAGCAATGAATTGTCATAAAGAAAGATGAAATTAGCACAAGAGGGACTGGATAGAAAATTTTGCTTTAGGAATACAGCTGCATCATTCAGCCCTAAGATCCAATAAACAGCCTTCCCCAAAATAATTAGTCGAGAGTAATGTTTTCCTGAGCTAACCAGGCCAGCGTGGGAGGGTAGTGTTTATGTGACTCAGCCCAATATAAAGTAGAGGAAACAGATAACTCAAAAAATCAGCTTGGAAAACAGTAACTGGCTTGATCTGGGTGTAACCTGCATATTTCTTCCCAGTAACTGTGAGGACGCAGTGTCATGACACCAAGCATTTAGAGACCAGGAATGGGAATTTGAACAGTATATTTGAATTGTGATTCCACTGATATTGCAGCTGCTATAATGTGATTGTGCTGCAATTCCAGTATATTGCTGTAACATTCTGCTACATCAAAGTCCTGGATATATCTATAAGAACTTGGGTTAGAGAGTACAGGAATATGGCTGCAGGCTACTAAATGAGCCCAACACAAAAGAAGACGCAATTACTGGAGGCAAGACCTCTTCCTTGTTCTGGATTACCTGTACGAGGTCATTGAATTGAAGAGCTTCCAGTAGAAAGTCACACATCTTTCATAGCCTCAAATACTGGAGCATTGGTTCTTCTACAGATGATGAGTACAGCCTCAGACTCTGCATCTTTAATGGTCACATCCAATGAAACCTGAAAGGAAGTGCGAAGCCTGTCTGATTTCCCCAAGTTATCCATGAATTAAAAAAATCAAATCAAACAAAACCAAACCAACAAACAAAACAAACCACAACAAAGAAAACACCACCACCTCCAGCACCACCACCACCACCACAACAACAACAACAATCAAACCAAACAAGCAAACAGTCCAATGACTGGACTGATAGCATTCTCCATACTCATCCCTAACTAAAAGACACCTGGAACCAATTAAGAGGCAGAGGACAATCACTTTTCACAAGCTCCCGAATGTGTGAGTCCAGGCTCTACAATCTATTTGCCTCCTTTACAATAGGAGGAAGCATATACAGGATTATCAATTATCAATGAACTAATAGTGGCAAGACTGTGAGCAGACTTAATTAATAGTTTAATTATGACAATGTAATGTTACTATTCTCAAGAGAGGTACTTGAACCTTTCCTTCTCAGTAACTGCTTTAAAGTTAATTTCTTTAACTTAGGAATATTTAAGATGGCTTTCTTGGGCAACTGTTTCAAGTGAGTCATAGTGGATTAAACAGCAACTTCGCAACACATTTTTTTTGCCCACTTTTAAACTCTTTCAGCCTATATAACACTGTAAGGTCTTCTGCCAATTTTGTGCAATAAAATGCTGTAGTTCTATCAAAGATCTCTATATGAAAATAAAATTTGCATTGAACAAGTGCAAAGGGAAATCTCTAATAGCAATTGCTGTAATACTTTTGAGTCATGTATCCTGTTTTTCTCTTTCTCATTTATAAACAAATCATTATGGTGGCAGAATATGGTAAATAAACTTCTGTGCTTAAAACAGCAGGAGTTACATACCTGAACTTGCAGTCATCAACATGCTTCAGCAGATTGTGTTTTGATGGTTAAAATTAGACTATCGCTCACCCCATTCCACCCTGCCAAAGCCACCTGATGAAGGTGTAAGCTGTCAGGAAACAGATAAGGCTACAGACTAAAACCTAAAACAGATCTCACAAAAGAAAGAAAGAAAGAAAGCAAAAGAGCAAGTAGAAATAACTGCCTGGGTCCAGAAAAGCAAGTAACAGGAGGAGCCCCTTGGAAAGCATTCAGAGGCTGTTGAGGTTTTAGTTTTACCCAATCAACTATCTTCCTCTCCTTCTTCCTACATTCAGAGTGGGATTTGCTTTGCACTTTCTTCAGCTGCAAGAGAACTTTCACGATTCACACAGGACACCAAGGCCTTAAATCCTAACAGAGCTGAAGAAAAATGAAATGTCAGCAAGACAGAAGATTTCTTGGACATGTTGATTTCCTTAATTTGCTGCCATAGTTTTTAAGACCACACCAGTAACAACACAGACAAGATGGTAACTAGAAACACAGGAGTAAACAGAGCAGTGACAAAGAACTCCCTCAGCATCACAAGAAGTAATTCAAGTATTTAGCTATGCATTTTTTTTCCCATAAAACATACCTCTTTAGCTTGAAAAGTCCCAGTTAGACAGGGAAATCTAATACTTTGCAGAGGTGTAAGAAGGAAAAAAGCAAACACTGCACATAGATCAGATACCCTGCTGCAGCAAAAGGGGAATTGGGGCAACAAGGAAAGGTAAGTGAAGTGGCATAGAGGCAGTGAAGGAGAACCCTAGATTTTTGACTCAATCTGTAATAGCTGTATTTTCATAAGCATGTTCTTGTTTCAGATGTAACTGACTTCTGCAAAGTGTCTTTTCTTTATCTCGTATTCTTCACTTCTCTCCCACCAGTTGTCTTTCAATACAATTGCTGCTCAGCGATACAACTGCTTAGAAGTGTCCCCAGTTCCTATCTGTTGAAGCATCTGCCCATTTCAAAATAAATATTTCTGTAATTTAATGATGGAAATTTTTTGCCAATTTTGCTATTTTCTAACTTGCTTGAATTATTGTTTATAAAATAGGCTTCAGTGAAGTGCATTTAAACAAATGTCAGCTACTTCACGTACACTTGAACAACCACATGCCATCCTACAATTACAACCTCTGCTTTTTAACTCCCAGTCACATCTTTTCAAAGATGTTTATGAAACTGGTGCTAATGCAGGTACCAGTTGTGGCCAATGCAAACAGTAACTGTTGCAGACCTCTTTAACAGATGATTGTGTGGATGTACCAGATCCCAAAAGGAGAGGAAATTGTAACACATGCTAGTGGAACATATTGTGCTTATTGGCTAGAATTCTTTTCCTAGCCTCACCAGCAGCAGAGAGCCTTCACCTTCTCTTTCTATACTGCAACCACAGAAGAGATATTGTGAAAGACTGAGGGACGGGGTGCAGTGCATAAAAAGTCAATGGCTAAAAGACAATCAGTTGTTTCTGTACCAGTCTTTTCTCCCCACTTCAGAGCTCTGTGGTACTGAGAGCCCTCATATGTCTACTAAGTCCACACTTAGCCCAGACATGACTACATCAGGAGTTAACAAGACCTTTTTTTGGGAAAGGAAAAAAAATAGCTGCTGCAGGAGAAATTCAAGCCTGTTATCTCAATAGGCTGCATCTCTTCTTAGTAATATCATCTGGCAAGAGGAAAGGAAGACAACTGAGCAGCAGTCCCCTTTTCAGCATATTACTTCTGAAACTGTCCAGAGAAGGAAAAATCAACCACCTCAACAGAAGAAACATTTATGAGTCAGCTGTTAAGTCAACTTCACCAATGCAAACAGCTTAAAGACACAAGGATTCCACACACCAACCATATATCAGCCATCTACCAGTGTACCTAAAATTTAACTTGCAGACTTAGTTTTGTTCGGCTGCTTCCCTGAAGGGTTATGAAGTTAAAACACTCAAAGGAAGGGCCAACAAGCACAGCAGCCAGACATAACGTGGCGGGGGGAAACAGGGAAGCATGGCCCAGGTGGAAGGAAATGGTGCTGAACAATCAGAGTAGGAAGCTACCCACGTATTTTCAGAAGAAGCTGACATAATGGTCATTGGATCCAGAGGAGAGGATTTATTTCTCCTCATGTCCACTTTTGGCCCTGTCTTTAACTTGCATCAGGTGTGGTACTGTTGGCCTTCTGCTGCCTCTCCACTACAAGCCGAGCCTGCTGCTTTAGTGAGCTGAAGTGCCCCATAGAAGTGTGCAGCAGCACCACAGTCAGCTCCAGAGAACTGGAGGACATAAAGGTGGTAGTGGGAGTACACAACCAAGTGTTGGGGTGCAGAGCCAGGTGGCAGGGGGTGTGGTATTGTAGTAATCCACCGTGCTTCAGGAAGTCACACTTGAAATTCCTGCAGAGTAAGAAGAGAGGGTTTTCTGCAGAGAAAACAGACACAATCTGCTATCTGGCACACATGCCAACAGCATAGCAACAGTTTTTTAAACATCTTTTCCTTGTCACTTTTGAATTTTACCAATTTTAAACACTAAGTGTAACAGCAACAAGGCTTGGGAACCCAACCTCTAAACAAGGAAACTAGTAGAAAATAAAAACGTAAAATGTCAAGACAATTTTGGCAAAATCCTGGGAAAAGAGAAGAGAGTAATTAAAAATCTAACACATCATTTGCTTTTCAAATTTTTAATTAGGTATAATAAATGTACATAAAAGGAAGCATTGGCATTTTTGTTCATTTTAAGTGTATGAAATGGTAGGGAAAATAGACACATGGCATGAGTGAGGTCAGAAGTATCAAGACTGGTTTGAAATATTTCAAAATGTCATGCTAACAGGATATTAAGGGAAGCTTTTAAAGCCATCATGAACAAGGCTTGTTTAACATCAGAGCTAGAACCCACATCACACACAAGTTTGACATAGACTGAGAAAAGCAAATTTTCCTCATGTCTCGTATATCCAGGAATTTCAGCTGTGAGGTCTACATTAGGGTTAGCCATTTTCTCTCATTTTGAATGAGTTTGTTGACTGAATAAATTTTTAGAAAGTAAGTGCAAACTGCTGCACTACTTCGTCATGCTAAATCTATTATTTGAAAGAGTCTTAATAAGGCTGAAGAGGAGGCAGCAGCATTTGAGATATTATAAACCAGTCTAGCACCAAGCAACTCCAAAGTCTAGTTCCCTATCTGCCCTTTGGTGGATGCCCTCTGGGGAGTGAAAAAAAGAAAGAAATAAAACCACTGTATACTGCAAAGCCATAAATGCCTGACTCCCTGGATGAAGAACAAACTTCACTCCCTGAAGCTACACATGGTTGACATGCGAGTTAATTTCAAAACCAAGGACAACACCCTACCAGTTACAGTGTTTATGGGAAGATGACCCTACAACATACTGGGACTGTGTATTACCAGTGTCCTTTTGCAAGCAGTCACTGTAAACAGTACATTGTCTTAATGATCCTGCCAACAGTGCAGTAACATACATGTTCAATTCAGCCTTGCACTTCAGGATTATTTTTAAGTGCCCTCAAAACAAAAGCTGCTTCTACAGGTCTCGTTAGCTATGCTAATGAATTCTCCTCATCGCCCTCAAAACACTCAGGGGGTGAACAGTTACTCCAAAAGAAGAGGTTCATTTACATACCTCACCCAAAAGGATCCAGGAATTACTTTTTGCAGTTCTTCAAATGCATAGCAAACTGAAGTTGGAAGTTTTCCCAGACTGAAATGTGCATCTTAGCTATCTTTCTGCAGCACTTGCAGATGTTAGCTGACCTAATTCTGTTCTTTCTAAAATCAGTGAAAACTACTTACTGGGGATTACCAAAGCCAACATTAGAAATCTTGAAAAAGCACTAGGTGTACAACCACCTAAACTTCACTCTCACCCAGATTCAGTTCCCAGACCCTGTAAGCATAAGACAGACATTGTAAAAAAAGTAAATTTCTATGTGTCTTCAATCTTGCATCCTTTCCTTCTGGAAGCAATTAATATTTTGTAAATTCATTGCATATTCTAATTCTGAGATACTTGCATCTTCAATATATTAAAAGTATATCAAACTGAAATGACAATGAAGAAAAAATATTATCCTATTTGTATGACTGCTTAATTACTGTTTCAGAATTCTGGAAATTCTTACATACAGAATTAGAAAGAATTTCGTTTTTAAACTAAATTTCTTGGCCTACCAAAGTGAAAACTGATGTTCATGACTCCTAGGCAGGTACTTCTACAACTTCAAAATAGTCATTAGGCAGAATCACATAGCCTTTTCCTGCCAATATGTCTTTTTCTTTCTGAAACTGAACAATTTCTCTTAGTTTCTCAATTTGTCTTTCCTGACGCCGGCACCGCTGTTGCGCTGTCTTCAGCTTCTTCCGCAGCTTTTCAACTTGTTCTTCCAGCTGTTGAATTCTTTTTCGCTGATGGACTGTATCCTCTACGGTATAGTTATGATCGCAAAAAACAGCAAGATTGCTGGGGGTCTGGAGAGGGGGCATCAATAATCCAATACTCGGATCTACAAATCTGGCATCTATTTGAGACAAATGAAAAGAAGGAGTTGATGGAGATTGTGGTAGTACTGGAGCTGCTGGTGGTGGTGGTGGTGGTGGTGGTGGTGGTGGAGGCGGTGGCAGCGGTGGCAGTGGAGGAGGTGGCAGTGGATCTTCTGGCTGCTCTGCAAATTCTTCAGACTAGAAAGAACAAGGAAAAAAATGCACATTTTCATGCTTAATATTGTTTACAACACAACTCCCTTATTACAGCCCCAGAATAACCTAAACAACCAGGACTTAAACTAATAAAATAAATTTCGAAGACACGATTTTTAAAACTGGCAAACATTTCTCGGCCTGCTTTGTCCGGCTTCTCAATTGGACATATTTTTAACCAGCTTCATTTTAAGGGCTCTTTGAAACTCAAGCCCTTATGTCTAAATAGGTTTTTTGAATAATCTAAGAAGGAAGAACACAGACTGCAGTTCCATAAAAAGGAGTTCAGATGACCTAGCAATTCATTGCTGCCATCCCATTCCCTTTTGTCCCTCCTCCTTTCTGCTCCATCATACCACTACGTAATTGAACCTACCAGCTACCTTAATCAAAAACACATCAGACATGGACAATCTTCTGCTGAGGTAGAATGAGTGTTAGCTAATGAGCAGGCTGATAGGGTGGCAGAGCAGAGAGACAGACACAGTAAGACCAGTCTTCTCAACAGCTGGGAGGGACTCTTACTGGTTTTCGGCTGCAGTGTAAGGGTTTGGTTAAAAGAGACATCATGAACCAAAATAAACAGCTCTTCAACAGCAAAGCAGCCTTTTCATCATTGGTACTTACTTTTTGCTCAAATATAATTGCTAAAATGACAGAAAGCTACTTGATCTCCCATTATCACTGCATAAATTTTCTGTCGATTATTAAATGTCAAAGTAATGCAACAAAAGGTATGACATACACCTGCCCTGATATGTGGAAAAAGTGAGAATCATAAATTTATAGAATGTTTTAGGTTGGAAGGGTCATCAAAAGATCATCCAGTGTCAACACCCCTCCACCTTGGACAGGGACACCTTTCACTAGACCACGTTGCTCAGAGCCCCATCCAATCCTTGAACACTTCTGGGGATGGAGCATTCAGAGCTTCTCTGGGCAACCAGTTCTAGTGCCTCACCACCCTCACAGTGAAGAATGTTTACCGAATATCTAATCTAAACCTGCCCTCCTGCAGCTTAAGGCCATACCCTCTTGGCCTGTCACTACATGCCCTTATAAAAAAGTCCCTTTCCAGCCTTCTTCTAGGCCCCCTTTAGATTCTGCTATGAGGTCTCCACACCACTTTCTCTTCTCCAGGCTGAACATCTCCAACTTTTTCAGCCTGTGTCTCTAGGATGGGTGCCCCATCCTGCTGGTCATCTTCCTGGCCTTCTCTGGAGTCACTTCAACAGGTCCAAGTCCTTCCTGTGCTGGGACCCCAGAGCTGGATGCAGTTTTCCAGGTAGGGTCTCACCAGAGCAGAGGGGTAGAATCTCTTCCCTCGCCCTGCTGGCCATGCTGCTTTGGATGCAGCCCAGGATACTTCTGGCTTTCTGGGCTGTGAGCTCACACTGCCAGGTCACGTTAAGAAACAGAACTGCATGCCGGCAGATGGAATGGATGAAGTGAAGCACCCCTTGGCAGCAGCAAAATATCGATTGGCTCAACTCCATTGCAGGGTTTTTTTGCAGATAAAACTGCAGGTTTTATCACATTGCTGTTAATAGATCCACTTGTACAGGTCAGAGCAATATAGATTCCAAGCCATTTGAGTACAGGCTAGAGCAGAGAATCAGATTCTTTCTTCCCCAAAGGAATCCAGTATAATTTAGAAATGCTTCTGTGCACACGTCGATTGAAAAAGCACTGTTGAAACCAAAGAGCTTGCATTTCGCCTATTGAAAATAAAGCTTAAAACATTCTCAGTAAAAGAGTCACTGAAAAAATTTTCTACCTACTCACCTGTTGCCAATACAATTAGTACAAAGAAAAGCATAAGGACCGGAAGAATGTTGATTTTAAGAACAGCCAACAGTCCTCACCATCAAAATATCAAGCTCATCAGATCTGAAGGTCGTATCATTAACTTCCTTGACTTAACACAAAAGCAAGATAGATGTGTGGGTGTCTACCTGACCCCCATACAAACCACAATACTTGCCAGACAGTAACTGAAAAGGCAGTCTGGTTATTTGTATTGAAGGAAAGTGATGATTGGCATTAAAGGGAAGTTTAATATGCACTCAAATATAACTGATCACAGGTAAGTACAAAATCAGTAAACTACCAATCTTATTTCTCAGTTATAGAAAACTGCTGCTCTTAGCCTAATGAATATTCTAAAGAGCTTGACCCTGTCAACTGTCACTATCAAATTTTTCTACTAAAAAAAACCCTACAAGACAAAGGTAGAGCTAGCAAAAAGAAACTCATTCTTGCTAGAAACAAAAGCAAAAATCAGATCACTGCTGGACTGCTGAATTCACAGAGACTTCTATTTGAAGCTATTGAGCATATGCTACCTCTGTATATACAAATTATTATTGTCACAACATATCACAGAGAACAAATATTTGGTATCTCTGGGACATTATCAGTGACTTCTAATTATTTCTCCTAGCCAATAAATACTTCTCCTAAGACATAAGTAAAGAAAAAGAAGGTATACCAAATTACATAGTGCGAAAGAAAAAAACCTGTATTTCAAAATTCATGTGGATTCAACTCCAAAACAACCACAATTATTCTTTGTTATTACACTGTTACTTGAAGATAAGTGGCAGTTCATTCAAAAGTGCCACGAGACAAATAAAAATAGAACTAAATCCTTCAGAATTAAAAGGCACTCGCTGTTCTGTGTTTTTGTAGATGCAGGTATGACAGCGAAATTGGGAATGTGGCTCACTACTAAGACTGCTGCACCAACAGTACTTTTGCAGACTACCCTACACACCCATTCAGCTTTCAGACTGTAAAAAAATTTGCAAGTGTTTTACACACAACAAAGAAAATGTGTATTTCACAGATAAGCAAAGAAGTGTAATCAAACAAAAAACACAGCCATATTTCCCTGAAAGCTGTCTCCTTGTTTACATTCTGTTTATATTCTCTTATCTATTATTAGCCACTTTTCATTTTTCAAATGTGTAGCAATTTTATTTATGCAGCACTCCCATACTGTATATAAAGAGGAAAACTGAACAAGAAAAATCTGAGTTTTCTTCTGTGCACTTCATCCCATTTAAGTCTTTTGCTCCCCAAACCTACTCTATCTACCACTGTCTTCTTTGCCACTTTCTCTATGGCAGAGCAGTAAGAGATCAAATATTTTATATCCTTTAAAGGATTAAAAATCAATCTTTTCCATTCTTGTCTTGAAGTTATGAATTGTTACTTCTTGATGTAATAAGTGACTTGCATTTGACAGTAAATTTTTCTAGTGGCACAGTGAAGGGAATACCTCACACAGAAGTCTGTACCATCAAAAGTCAGGGACCAGTATGGCTTTTGAAAACATTAAGGCAAGACACAGGTGCTCTCAGGACAGAGAGATAGCAGGTGCAGGTAAAGTTCTGCCACTCACTTTAACTTTGCAAAGTCAAAGCACAGAGCCCTCTTAAAGAGGCCAGTTAAGTTTCACAGTTAACATCCACATCTTCAATGCTAGCAGTAGCATCAGCCATGGGAAGAGAGTAAGTGCCATTTGCAAGCATTAATGAAGGCTCCCTCAGACTCTGAATATGCAGGAATTGCTGTGAAACAGTTTAATGACAGGCAAGTACCTTCTTGCTTTGCTGCCATTCAATTTAATTCAGCACATGGATGCTGTATTAAATGGACATGTGAGCAGGTCAAAGCCAGTGTCTGCCTATACAACACTTTGCGCTCCAAAGCCTAGAGAAAACAAGCACAGCTGTTGGAGGTGTTTTCAGCCACCACAGCCGTCCTGGTGACCCCAGGCAGACAGGCTCAGCATCCTGCCAGCCTTCATCCTTCCCAGCCTGCATCCTCTCATTGCTCGCTGCCCTGCCACCCTGCAACCAGTGACACGCATGACACATTCCAGCACCTGCAGCCATGGGTGCTTTGGGTTTACCTTTTCACCGGGTTCAGTGTAACAGAATATTGTGGGCACAGCATTCTCTTTTAGGAGCTTGTTATTGCATTCCCTCTTGAAGCAATCGGGGGTAAAGTGTTCTGAGCAAATGCTGCTGTACTTGGTCGGCTTGAAGTTTTTCCTCTTAACAGCAGCTTCCCACTTCTTGCAAAGATCGGGTCTTGTAAGAGGAAACCTGCAAGCAAGAGGCACTTTCAGCTTTTCTGGAAAGCTTTATAACCGGAGCCAAAACCTTCCTGCTCCCCATCGCGGGGAGGGAATGAGGTTTCAGCTCGCTCTCGCCCTGCAACAGGCGGCTCAGAGGGTCCCGTCCCTCGGCTTTCCCCAGGGAGACGCCGGGTGGGGCGGGCGAGGCACCCCACCCTCAGCGGCCGCGAACAGACATGTCCCGCTCCCTGTCCGTCTGTCCGTGCGTTGGTACCCGCCCGCCCGCGCGCACTCCCGCCCGGCTCCCCGCCATCCTCGCGCGCGCGGTCCCGCGCTGGCCCCGCCCCCCGGCGCGACCCGCCCCGGCGCCCGCGCGCGCTCACTTGTGGAAGGAGATGGGCTTCTCTTTGTCGTATCGGTTCCGGCAGCGGTAGGCGGAACAGGACTGCACCATCCCGCCCAAACCCGCGCCCGCCGCGGCGCGGCCTCCGTGGGGACGGACGAGCCGACGGGGCGCTGCGAACTCACTGCCGGGCACCCATGCTTCCCCCGCCTCTCGCGGCCCCCCCCCGCGCCCGTGGGCCTCCGGAGAGGGACGGGAACGGGACGCGCGGCCTCTCCCAACTCCAAGATGGCGGCGCCAGCTTCAACGGAACCTCTCGCGGTAGCGGCGCGCACCGCGCTCCGCCCATTGGGCGCGTCGGCGCGCAGGGTGGGGGCGGGGTCTTGTTCGGCGGACTCGCCAATCCGGCCGCCTCCTTTCCCCCGCTCCGCCCCCTTTTCGGAGCCGTGCTCCGCCCACAGCCGCACCCACAGCTGGGCAGCGCCGCCCACAGCTCACCCACAGCTGGGCAGCGCCATCCGCACCCACAGCTGGGCAGCACCGCCCATAGCTCACCCACAGCTGGGCAGCACCGCCCATAGCTCACCCACAGCTGGGCAGCACCGCCCACAGCTCACCCACAGCTGGGCAGCACCGCCCACACCCACACCCGCACCCACAGCTGGGCAGCGCCATCCGCACCCACAGCTGGGCAGCGCCGCCTACACCCGCACCCACAGCTGGGCAGCGCCATCCGCACCCACAGCTGGGCAGCGCCATCCGCACCCACAGCTGGGCAGCGCCGCCCACCCCGTCCGGCACCATCTGGGGAGCGCCGCCGCTCCCCTCCACATCCACGCCATGGCAGCGCCTCCGGCCCCGCCGGGCACAACCCCGGGCCCGAGGGCTGCGCTGCGGCCGTTCCTTCACTAAGGGGAACCTGTCAGGGCCCACTCCGACCGCGCCATACCCGAAGTCTTGGCCGGGAGTGGTTGCCCCAGCCGGCAGGCAGGGCTGCGGCCGGGCGAACCGGTGTGCACAACAACAGGGACAGGAAGAAGCTGGCGCGGGGGAAAGGCAAAAGAAAACAACGGGAAGACCACATTGCCATAACACACAGTTGCCTTAAGGACATGTAAAACAACTCAGTGTCGCTCACCTAAACGTAGTTTGCAGGTACATCAGCAAACAGTAGATAGATCTCTCAACAAATCGATTTGTTGTTACAAATAAGTTTATTTCGAGCACTTTTGACATGTTCCCATTCTGTGGGCTCACTTTTGAACTTTGCATTTGATCAAGAACTAAAACCGTCCTACATAAGTGACAGTTTTTATATAGGAATGATGAAGGAACTTACCTTACCTTTAGGGTCACTCCAGTCAAGTGTAACATTATATCTAGAAATTCACTGACAATGACCACAGACCCAAGTGAACTTCCATGGCTTTTCTCTGACCCCACACAAATCATCATTTTCTCCTTAATCTGCTTTCCCTCTCTACACTTGCTTTGTGTGGGAAAGAAAACAAGGTTTATTTGCCTTAGCTTGTAGGCTGTGGCTTCTCTGCCTAGACAGCTCTCTTTGCCCAACAGGTACCAGTCACTGCCATTTGCTTACCCAGGAATATGACAGAAAAGCGTGTACAGCAGCTTCAGCAGTACTTCCACAAAGCCACTCGCATGAATTGTTTTCAGTACTTAGTGTTGGCTGAGCACTGTTAGCTCTGCTCCCTCTCCTGCTAGGTCAGCCAAGAGACAAGGAAACCAAAATAAGCCCTTTCTAGCACTACCTTCCTCATCAAGAAAAACATGCTTACTCCTCCCCTATCCACGTGAATGCCTCTGTCCTTGGCCTTTGCCTGATGGCTTTCTTCTCCCTCGAGTCCTGCTGCCAGTTTTCTCGGCAGCAATTCTGCCACAGCCTCAGGGACCAGAAGAGCTTGGCTGCCCTATGGCAGGATGAGCTAGGGGTGACCAGAGCCAAAGCCCAGGCTCATCAGCCTGGACAGAGTCCTGCAGCACAAGAGCAGGCAGACACTAATGGACACACCCACACAAGGTGAGGTGATGAACCAGGTCCACCCAGGTAATTCAGGCAGGAGCAGCAGGAGATGGTGCCAGGAACAGAACTGGAAACACAGGTCCAAGGTTCACCCAGGAGATGGAGTGGAAGAGAGCGACACCTATGACACAGCCAGGCAGGGACTGAAGGTGCTGGGCTGTGTTGAAAAGGAGCTCTTGCACCATACACAAGAGTCGGGGGCCCCAAAGCAGTTGAGTCAAAGTCATCAAGGCCTTAGTCAGTGCAGTTAGACTCCAGTTCTCCTATAGACCTGAAGAGGGATTCTGAGTCAAAGTCCTGGACTTGATACCACTGTCCACCTCCTCCTCCACTGCTGGTTTTGGAATGAACCCAGGCACAGGTGGGCACAGCATGGCCATATAGAGCATGAGGCTAAGAGCAGAACACAGCAACTTCACTAGACACTGTGAGAAGAGGCACGTGGTCTTGGTATGTAGGAAGGAAATGCCTGGAGAGAACGCATGAAAGCATGAGTAGGTTGCAGAAGGTGACACCTAACTCGGGGCGGGGGGGTCCATCACAGGTGAGGAGATCTGGTGAATGTGTAGATGAGCCACTGAGCCCATCAGTCACAAAGCTGATTTTAAAGACTTAAAGGAGAGATTTCAGCAGCTCTCTCAGGATCACATTGGTATCCTGAAGCAAAAGGGATTTATAAAAGACTGGGTGAAAAGAAATTTCCTCATGCCGTAAGAATTTCAGAAACTTGGAGAAGGGCAGAGGCAATTGTCTTGACTAAAGATAACAAATAAATACAACCCCCAACTGAAAAATGCTATTCACATTTCAGTAGTTTTGAAAATGTTGGAAATAAGTATAGGACGTTTCAAATCCTTTTTTTCTTTTTTTCTTTTTTTTTTTTTTTTTTTTTTTTTTTTTTTCCCCAGGAAAAAAAGGCTACATCAAATTCAAGTCCATTTTCTGAGTGACTTTTAGTTTGACTAGTTGGTGTGTTTCCTGATGGCCAAGCACTTCCCGTCAGACTTCCCAGCACCGTGTTGTTGAGAATCATTACTCCTCGACACCTGCACTATCCTGTGCCCATCCATCACAGACGCACCAGCACCTGCCCCAGCGGCCGCCACGCGATGCCCTTGCTCGCTTTCTTCCTGAGGACTCCCGGTCCCGGTGCCGGAGTGATGGCCCGGAGAAAAACTTCCCCGTTTCCGGACGAAGGCCCCGGCACTGCCCTCTTTCCCACACCGCAGTCGCGGGGCGAGTTTCCGAGGGGGAGGAGCAGCGCGGGTTCCCCACGGACACCCCACCGGGAAGCCGTTCCGCGCAAGCCCGGCGGGCGGGGGAAGGAGCGGGCGGGGGGGACCGGCGGCGGCAGCAGGGAGGCGGCGACGGCGGGGCGGGCAGCGG